TTTCCCTTCTTCTGTGGACAATCCCTTTTAACGTGTCATTTCTCCTTGCAAAGATAACACCTAACTTTGCTAGAGGGTTTTGATTTTGAACGCGACCTCCCATTCCCGTTACCCCTCTCATGTGGTCTTCCCCTACCTGCAAACAGACCTGAACCAGAATCCTCTTCCAGAGAAACCTTTCTTTTCAATTCTTTGGACATAAAGGCATCTTTCACATTATTAACAGAAATTGTAGTTCTACCATATAGCATTGTATCTACAAAATTCTCATATGAACCAGGTAGTGAACACAATAAAATTAGGGTTTGATCTTCATCATCTACTTTAACCTCAACTCCTTGAAGATCAATAATGATACGGTTAAAGGTATCAAGATGATCCTTTACCTGAGTACTTTCGGACATCCGGAGGGTGTAAAGACGTTGCTTCTGATATAGCCTGTTCGTGAGAGAGTTGTTTTGGTACTTCTCACACAGTTTATTTCATAACCCAAAAGGCGTTGTCTGATCTACAACCTCCCGTAACACCTCATCAGTAACTGACAACAAGATCGCGGAATGAGCCCTTGCCAAAATCTCATTATTTACCTCCTTATTCGTATCTTTAGGAAACTTGTCTTCTCCCTCCAACGCAGCCGCACATCCTTGTTGAACCAGAAGTGCCCTCATCTTGACCTTCCAGAGCATGAAGTCATTCGACCCATTAAACTTCTCTATATCAAACTTATACGAGGACATCTTCAATCAATGAGATATGACTCTGATACCACTTATGAGAAAACGAGAAAGAAAGCAAATAAAGAACACAGAGGTTTTATGTGGTTTGGTGACGGTGTGTCAACCTACGTCCATGGGCAGGAACCGGAGAGATTTTATTATACTGATTCAGAGATTTACAATATGTCATCCGACTAAGAACCATAGTTGTCTATTTATAAGCACCCCAAAACACCCTAAACCCAAAGCCTATTTGTTATTAATTAGGATAAGCCCAAAAGGAACCCTGCCAATTGAAACAGCCATTTCGCTTTGGTTTAGGGTCGGGTAGACCACTAAATCCAAGTCACGTTTCAACAAATATATTACTTGTCCTATTTATTTTGTCCATATTTTATATTTTTGTCTGTTTCACATTATTTGTCTTTTTTTTTTTAAAAAAAATATGATTATACACTTTAATCACATTATAAATATTATATTTTATAATTTTTTTATTTTAATTAAATTATTTAGTTATTTTAATCTTAATATATGATTATTTTTATTATACAATAATTATTTTTACTAATACACTTCTTAATTATATTTTACTAAGTTATCGTATATAAAGTAATAGGCTCATATTACATGGGACGGAGGGAGTATATTATATACTATATTTTTTTTGTTCTAACTCAATATATAAATTAATAAATAATACTAATATTTTATTAATTAGTAGAAGTACGTAAGAAAATAAATATTTTTTGTAAAAATTAAGGGTGTGAGATATTTTTAAGTGATACATACAAAAATAATAAAAAAATACATTGAGTTGAAACAGATAAAATATAATATGTCATTAGTCTTAACTCAATGTATCATTATTACAATTTTTGTCCATTCCATTAAAAAAATATATATATTTTTTTATAAAAGTAATTATACAATAATCTCAATTTACCCTTAACATTTATTTACATTACAAATATACAATTATATATATAATTAATTTGTACATAAAATTAAATGACAAAAATATATATATAAAAAAAATATTTACTGTTATTAACGAATAACATATTACTCCCTCTATCCCAATACAATAGTCTTGTTTACCATTTTTGTCCGTTCCAAAATAATGGTTTCATTTTCATAAATAACCATATCACCATAAAAAATTATCCCTACTTTTTATTATTACACAATTATCACTACTTTTTACACTAATATACTATAAAAAAATAATTTATTCTTATTTTTTACCAACTATTAATACAATATTAATATTTTTTAAATCTCGTGTCCAACACAATAAAATTATACTTTTGGAACGGAGAATGTATTATTTTTTAATTTAATATAAAACTCAAAAAAATAAAAATAAAAATAAAAAATCTGCTCCTGGAGTTGACTTGTAGTGAATTTCTAGATGGTCCATTGAACCCGTACACCAGAATATTAATTAATAAAATATTCTTTAATTAATTATTTTATCATCTTTACAGGATTATAATTATAGATAATATCAAATCACTAATAAGTAATATTAATATCTAATTATTTTATATAGTTTGATTCCCTTAATTTTAAATTTATTTTTGTAAAGGGTTTGTTTGTTTGGTTTATTTATTTTTTTAAATATTTCTTTTCGTTTAATCTATTTTCATCATTTTTTTATTTTCGATTGTCTCACTGATTTTGTCATTTTTTTAAAAAAAATTTACTTTTTAATTACATTTTTATTTTTTATTGTAATTTGACTAATTAATTATTTTAATTTTTATTTATAATTATTTTCCTTCTAAATTCTTGAGTATTTCGTAATCACATAATTTAAAATTAGTGTTTATTGTTGTATGAAAAAATATGCACATAATTTTATATACCTTAATTAATCTAAAGTTGGTTTATTATACGTATTCTTTCAAAGATTTTGATTCTATTCATATATGATCATACTTAATTTTTGCAATTATCATTTATATAGGTACACCATAATATTTTAATGATATCCTTCTATTTAATTGCTAAAAAATATACTCCTAAATGTTAAATAAATTTATTATTATTTGTTAAAAATACGAGTGATAGAATTATAAATTGAATAAAGTATTTATTATTAATAAATTGTGACATAGAGAAATAATTTTCACGATGAAATATAAAATAAAAATATGATCATATTAATAGATTTCTGCAAAATAAATTATTTCTTGTAATATTTTGCTTTGATCTCATTGCCCGCAACAAAATTAAAAGAAATTTATGAATTGAAATGTTATGTACTTTTTTCGTCATTCCAATTCAAATTCATGTTTTTTTTTTTTTTTTTGTGTTGTTATAAAAAAATATTTTTATTTTTTAGCAGAAAAATAAATTATTTTTTATGATACGTAACAAATAATAACAATTATTATATACTTTTATTGAAATATATGACTAAATATTTGAGAATACAGTTGAAAAAGAAAGTATATAACAAAGAACTTAGAAAAATAAAATTATTTTCATCTAATAGTATAATTTATTAATACATAATCAAGTTCAAAATGAGTTGAATATGCTAACATGGGAAATGCATAACTTTTACTCTATAAAAAATCGATTATTATTAATTGCAAATAATTCTTAGGGTTTGTTTGATTAGTATTTTGATTTGAATATTTTTTTTTTACAGAAATAATAAAAATTGTGTTGATAATATAATAAATAATATTTTTTATGTTGATTATTGATAAGAAAATAAAATATATATTGAAAATTATATTAAAAAAATTGATAGGCAAACAATCTCTTACACTGTGTTCTTTTAATTTTTTTTTTTTAAAAAAATTAATACAATTTTTCCAAGAAAAGAAAAAGAATTATAATAATTCTTAAATCAACAGTGATTCAATGCTCTTTTATTTTTATTTTGTTAAAAAAATTTCAAAGTAAAAATGTATATCATCAACTAAAATTAAAATATAATATTTCAAAATAACAAGAGTTATTGTATGTAGTATGAGAAATTGTGTTATAACATAAAAAATAATATATTGGATTGAATGTTGACTTTTTATATTAGTGGATAATATATATTATATTAATGTGTGTATATTTATATTTTTTTTAATAATATTATAAGGAATTGTTCTATTGAAAAATGCAGAGAGATTATTATTCAAAATTTTAATTTAAGTTATACTCCCTCCGTCCAAGCTAAAAGTATACATTTACTTTTGGTATAGTGTACAGGTAAAAGTAGTGAAACGATATTTTTGCCTTTACTTTTTTGGTATAAAAATAATGATGTGATGTAAAGCAGGAGTATTTGTGAAAAAACAGGGTATTTTATGAAATGGTTACTTTGTAATTGGACGTCCCAAAATAGAAATATGTATACTTTCTACTTGGACGGAGGGAGTATTATTATTATTATTATTATTATTATTATTACACCTATTAATATTAGATTTAAAATAGTAAGGTGTATTTGTTTTGTAAAATGGTTTGAACAAATATTTTTTTTTTATATAAGATATAAATAATTATGTAATGAATATAAAAATAATAAATATATATTAAATTTTCTTTTAAAGAACAAAGCATAAATTATTTTTTAAAATATATGTTTAAAAGAAATATCAATGTGCTTCTAAAAAATATTTTTGAGAAAATAAAAGAAGAGTTTTTTTTCTGCTATTTTTAAATTGAGATGCTATTAAATTTTGTTTCGTACGGTATTATATATTATAAGTTATAAAAATATTTATAATGTTACGTAATTAATACAATTGTTACTAAAAAAAAATACATAACAATATAAGACATACTAAAAGAAAAAAAAAATATTCTCTCCATAACACCTTACAATATTTCTTTTTTGATATGTCTCGTACACTCTGTAATATTTTTAAAATAGAAAATAATTAATTATACATAATCTCTATCTCACATTTTATCCCCTCACATCGTCCAAATAAAAAAATAAAATATATATTTCTCTCTATCACATCACTTAATTTCTAAATTATTATATTTAATACTACCCGCTTAAAAGATGTTCCTTGTCTGAGACAAACATAGTATATAACAATATAATACATACTAAAATAAAAAAATAATAATAATTTATTAAATGACAGGACAATACCCTTCAAAAGTAACAAAAGGATCATTTTACACAATTAGTTAACAAATAAAGGGCTTGAAGTACAATCGGTAACAAACTTAAAGGACTAAATTGAAAAATTAGAACATCCCAAAAAGCTGAATTTTTTTTTTTCGCGGTTTTGACACCCGAAGCGTATAAATTTCTTGCTCCATCACTTCCTCTCAACGGCCTATGTTATAGCGTCTCGCGATTTTATTGTAACCCACCGCGGCTGCCAAGAACCCCATCGCGAATTCGAAGACTGAAGCTTCCTGCAAGACGATTAGAAATTTCCTGAGAGGTAAGGGAAAGGAATGATGGCAATTTTTTATTATTATTATTTTTTTTACTGATCATCTGCTCCCAATTTCGTTTTTATCGACTTTGATTTGCTATAGCTAGGTTTTAGAGTGGATGTCTTTTCGTTTGTTTCCGGCCTGGGGAGATTTGCAAGGATTTATTTATTTATTTTCTTTGTTGATGTTGCTCCGGATATAGGGTGTGTTTTTTCGTGGATTTTGGAGTTGGGTTTACGGTTTTGATCGTAAAGTTTTGAATTATAATAGTTGTTTAATGTATCTACCGATTTTATGAGTTTGATTTGATGTTTCTGATGAAAATTTTTAATGAATAGTAAATCACTACAAGCAAACACAACCTATTTGATTTGTCGACTGCATTTGTTTTAGTACCTCTTGTTTTACTGGAAATTTGTGAAAGGCGTTCATATCTATTTGATCAAATGTGTTTTGTTTCAAGTTTTGACTAGTCCTTATTTCAGGTGACCTCTTTGTTTGTGTGTGAATGTTAGCGGTGTTGACGCTTCATTGACATTTGAACTTATCATGCATACTATTTTTTATTATTTTTTTTTCAATAAATATATTGAATTACTGGGCTGAGTATTCTCCCGAAGTCGTAAAGATTGGCTCTGATTCTGGTTAATGCCTCAATGGTACACCATCTGCTTTTGAAGATTTTATGGCAGAGGGCTTTTTTTTTTTTTTTAAATTGCTTCTTCCATCCAATCTTATTAGGGTGTGTTTGTTTGGGGGTTTGGATTTTGAGTTGGGATTTGAATAGTAAAATTTTTGAAGTGTAATATTTGTATGGTGTGATATAATAGGTGTTGATGTGATGTTTTGAATGTAAAATTAATTTTTAGTATAATATAAAAAATAAAAAATAAAAAATAGGTGTTTGATTTAATATTTTTGGGGGAAAAAAAATTGATGAATAGTAAATTTTTTTGGGAAATTCAATAAACGAACACACCCTTAAATATTAAACATGTTTCTTTATGTTTCAAATATGTATTTTCTATCTGTTGGCATGGTTCATCTCTACTGTGGTTGCAATTTATGTGTTTTTACATTGATCTGCTGATTTTGCCTTTTGCTTCTCTCAGGTTAAGCTGATAATGGGACCAACAAAAAGATTTAAACGTGTGAACAAGAAGTGTGACCGTGAAATCTCTCCCAGAAAAGAAAGTGATAGTGCTGAACAAAGTCCCAATAGGGTGAGTTTTTTGTTGTCATTAATCATGTTACATTATGTGCTAGAGCTGAAGGAAAATATTATATACTCCATTTTTTAGTGATAGGGATGTGTTTGAGTGTTCTCTAGTTTCCATATATAGCTCCCTATGGAGTTATGATATAAAATCTGGTCTTATTTACTGAACATTCTCCATTGGTTATTGTAATGCGTTTCATCAATTTTATGGTTGTGTAAAGTTTCAGAATCTTCTAGTTAGGCATTTCCTTTTATCTATCATGCATGTACAAAGACACTGATGATTGAAAAAATGGTTGTTTTGCATGTATGACCTGACGATTGACTAATTTATTCTATTTCCTTTTTCCTTATCAGAAAAGAAAGCCATCTGAGATGCTTGGGCCTCAATGGAGCAATGATGAGATGACTCTTTTTTATAATGCTTACCAGAAGTTTAGTAAAGATTGGAAACAGGTTGATGTAACTGTAGCTAGCTTCACTGGCTAAGAGTCAGAGACACTCATTTGTAACATGTTTGATGAATTTAAGACGTTTTTCAAGAGAATAATCCCCGATTCTACCTAAATAATCACAAGCAAAGTTTTTGCTTTCCATGATTCTTCTACAGCTTATCAGATACAATTATCCTTTAATAAATTAGTTGGAATACTAACAAAGCTTGCCTTTACAATTTTTAGGTTTCTGATGCAGTAAGAAATCGATCTTCTGAAATGGTGGAAACCCTTTACTTCATCAACAGGGTGATCTTCTTTTTTGTTTTTTTTTTTTCTGAATGGTGAAGAGTTAAGATTGGATCACCTCTATCTATCATTCAACAGATCAGTCTTACTCTATCAAGATGGAAACTGAGTTGAACTTTGGAAATATCACGTTCTCACATTAAAAAAAATCTCTATCAAGGCTATATTGCATCATTCTTCTTTTACATCATTTCTTTTCAAATGCTAATTTTTGGCTCTTGAATTTCAGGCATACTTATCTCTTCCACATGGAACTGCTTCTGCAGATGGCCTGATTGCTATGATGACTGAATATTACAGCAGCATGGTGGGTATTTTGTTTAATTAAGCAATTCAATCATCTCCAAAAATATATTCACATTTTCCTTTTTATTTATAAGTTTGCATCTTTCAGTTTTTGGTTAATGTAGTTAGAAATGAGTAAAGAACTTAGGGTGTGTGTGTTTGTGAGTTTAGTTTTTGGGTTTGGATTTTTGAATAAGAAAAAATTAAATTTGAATAGTTGTTTGATGTGATATAAATAGATGTTGATGTGATGTTTTTAATGTAAAATAAATTTGTAGTATAATATATAAAACGAAAAGTAATTGTTTGATGTGATATTTTTTTAGGGAAAAAAGAATCTGAATAGTAAAAACCTTTGGTAAAACCCACAACCTTAATTTTTCTCCCACCTCCCATTCATGCTGATTTCTTTCTATATCAGTCTGTCAGTCTATCTATTTTTATGTAATAAATTGATACTTTTGTGGCCTACATAAGCAAAACATGTATTTTTATTCAGATCATTTGTAATTCCTAACCCTTATGCTTGCAGTTAAAAATCATCTTCCTGTAATCCTGTGTATACTGAGTCCAAATTTCATCTTGGCCTGATGGCAGGCAGGAACTGATAGCGACCAAAACAACAATGTTGGATCAGGATCAGCTGTAAAGACAAAGAAGCATTCTCATGGTTCTAAAGCAACTGAAGGGCAATCTGATTCACCTTCTCAAACTGTTTCCTCATATTCTGGTTGCCTTCCTTTGTTAGCACGCTCTGGAGGTATGATGAAATGAAGTTAATCAAGTACTTTGTGTGCATGAAAAAGGAAACAAAATGCTTCTTTGAAGCAAGGGGATTGTTTGATGCAACACTTTGCCGCATAAGGTCTATATTGGGAAAGACGTGTACAAATTTTAAAATTTAAAAACGCACAAGCTGTATGTTACAGAATCTAGAATATTCACATGCCTAGTATCGTTTTATGCACTGAAAAATCTGTAGAAAGACCTTAGCTTGTGATGATCAAGCCTTTGTATTCTCTATTGGTCCATGTTATAGCATGCATAAAGATCTGTTATCTGACTTCTATCTTATTATACGTTTATTTTTGTTTCTTCACCACATATTCGCTTCACATTTAGTGTTTAGTAATTTTATTTCTCATGTTGTTGTACAACACTGCAACTGTTTTAGCATTGTGATATCCTAATGACCATTTATGGATTTTTCTTTAGGGATGCCAGCTTATCCTGTCCGGAAGAGGACACCAAGGCTCCATGTTTCATCTTCATCTAAAAATAATGATGGGGGCATTTCTGCTACCAAGGAAGGCTTGCAATTGAATGCTAAAGCCAGTGATGATGAAGTAGCTCTTCATGAAATTTCCGTAGTGTTGACAGAGGAATCTCCAAGATATTGTTCTCAAATTTCTCAGGCACCAAGTAAAAGAGCTGGTTGTAATATCTCAACCTATGCTATTACCTAGAATGTTGTCTTATTTGAGCTTAGATTTAGGGAACCTCATATCTGAAAAGATATTTTGTTCTGTTTTCCCTTATTATTATTGAGATATGCTTCTTTTTTAGATGAGAACCCTGACTTTGATGCCCTTCGTATGCTGGCTGATTTGTCTTTGGAGATAATTCTGAAAAAAGATGGTAAGTAATCTACTTCCCTCTCCTTATTAAATAATTTTGTGATTGATGAGTGCATTGCTTCTATGGGGAAATAGATAGATTATCTTTTCTAGCATAGTTATGCATTGTGATTGCCTGAAAATAACTTATTTTTTGTAAGATAAGTGACATTTTCTCTAAGGATATTAACTTCTCTAAGTGACATTTTTAGGTAGACATGCTCATGTTGCACATTTAGATTGATTAACTTCTTGTCATCGATTTACATTATATTGTAAGGATATTACAATGGTTTACTGTTTTCTAGAGCCAATACAGTTTGAAGATGAAAGTGATGTCCATGTTGATGGATCTGCATTACAAGCTCCTCCCATTAATCTGCAAAAGGGAAAACAGAGATGCTCAAATGTAAGAAAGAAGGGGCATGACCCAGAATCATGTCATAATGTGTCCACTAAGAAAATGAAACCTGGAAAATGTGCAGTTGTAGATGCTAGGCATATTCCTGAAGAAAATGCAGGGCTTCATAAGTTAATGACCATGGCAAGAAAAGGGCAAACATTACATGTTTATAAGGTGAGGTGGATATGAAATGTATGTAGTTGTCACCATTCTTCTGAGTCTCAGTTTTTTGACACACAGTTACAATTATTAGTTTATAGATTCACAAAGCCAAAATCCTTGATGTTTATTTGAGTGCTTATATACTGCAGGTGAGGTACTTATACCCTTTAACTTGCTTATTTCTGTTAACTTCTACAGACGAATGGAGGTTCTGAAGCCTTGTCCTTAAACAAATAGATGTTCAATATGACAATTTCTAAAGTTGATGTGTGAAACACTGTAATATTGTTTTAGTCGGTTTTGGCACTTTTATATTTACTGTTTAATGTTTTATGTTACTTACTGTATTGAGATAATATAGTCATTACAGGTATGCTCTTTATTGATCCATCATCATGTCATTATGGGGTAGGCACTTTCCTTCTTTAGTGGAGAGTTCATTGAACCGCCATCGTTTTCTTGAGACCTCGGATGCATGAATTCTTTTAGTTTTTTTTTTTTTTACATCTTTTATGCTGACATACATTTTGTGGGTACTGAATAATGATCGTCTTACCCCAGGCTGAAGCAGCAAGGAAGAAGTCAATGCCTAAGAGAAAGAAATCCACACAAAGCAGTTTGCAAAATTTGATGAAGAATTCAGACAATTCTTCAAGTGTTGATCTACATAGAGAAGGCAGTGATTCTGTCCAGCCGGCGGTACAGGTCCCTGCACTTGATGAGTTTAACAATTCTCCTAGTGCTGATCCACAGAAAGAAGGCAATGATTCAGTCCAGCCGGCTGTACAGGTCCCTTCAGTTGATGAGTTTAATTTAACCCCTAAGGTTTGGAACAGGCGCAAAATGAACTTAAAAAACTCCCAACTACAAAATGATTTGAAGTTTATTGATGAAAACTTAAACGACCATAGGAATTTGACAGTGTCTTCACTTGGCGAGAGAGCATTTAATTTAATGGTTAGTATTTCCCCGTTCCTTCAAATCCCGAAGTTCAGTTGTCAACTCTCAACGCTCATTATCTGTATCATGTCGTACAGGAAATACTGTTGAGGTGCTTTTCAAATCCTCTTCTAAGGAGGTGGTGTATTTGTGAATGGTTCTATAGTGCCATTGATTATCCTTGGTTTGCAAAAAGAGAGTTTGATGAATATTTGTGTCATGTTCGATTGGGTCATGTTTCAGAGTTAACTAAGGCAGAATGGGGTATCATAAAAAGGTACTTCAATGATTAAAATTTAATGTCTCTACCATGTTATCGTGACTGACAGAAGCTTCTCAATGATGTGCTATTGTTTCTTCATGCTAAGCAGTTCTCTTGGAAAACCACGGAGATTTTCGAATCAATTTCTGAAGGAAGAAATCGTGAAGCTTAATCAATATCGAGATTCTGTAAGGAAACACTATGGGGAGCTTTGTGATGGTGTTCGGGAAGGATTGCCAAATGACCTTGCAAGACCGTTATCAGTTGGACAGCGTGTAATTGCGATCCATCCAGCAACAAGAGAGATCCATAATGGAAGTGTGCTGACAGTCTATCATTCTAAATATTATGTTCAATTTGATTGCCATGAGCTAGGGGCTGAATTTGTCATGGTAAGTTACTTCCTGAATTGCCTCGAGTGTCCATTTATGATATTGTTTATTAATACATTTCACTTTCTTTTTTTCTTGTGTCCATTTATGATATTGTTTATTAATACATTTCACTTTCTTTTTTTCTTGTTTCTATCTCAATGGTTTTTAATGGCATTGAAGTCCTTTTTTTCTCAAAACTGTTGACAATCTGTGTTATTTTAATTTTTTTGTGCACCAAGTGAATTTGGATACTACTGGAACTTTTTAGAATCAGATTAGGATGGATTTTTAGGCCTTTTCTTGAGTAATCATGTCATTTTAATTTCTCTAAAACTAATGATAGCTGGCAAACTTTCATTTCTGTGTCTGTTTCTTATCAGTTTTGGATGATCTTAGATTTTAATCTTATATTGATTTACTGAATAATAAGAATCAAGGTACTTTGAGACCTTGAACTTGACTGTAAAAGAATTCATGTTCTTGGGGCCTTCTGAGAAGCTGCAAAAGTCTGAGGCATATTTTACTCACCCTTTCTCCTGAAAGTCGTGCTGGATCCACACCATTCAGCAATAACGTATTGTTTCTTACCATTTTTTGTCCCTTCTCAAATTTAGGTTATATCTTGTTCTCATACTCAAAATATGGACATGATAATGCAATAAAATCAGATTTTCTGGCTTGATGAATTTATCTATTTTTATGATGCAACTGTATATTGCCATTTATATGTATTCTTATGTAATCAGTCACTCGGTGCTTTAGATTTGTGTGACAAAAATCTCTGAAGATAATTGATATTACACATGAACAATTTGCAAATTTGTATCTTTTTTAGAATTGGCCAGGTTCGGCATTGTTTGTTCTATTTGCTTCCAGTCACACTATGGAATGCTTTAATTTGCAGGACATCGACTGCATGCCTTTGAATCCTTGTGAGAGTATGCCTCCATTGTTTAAGAGACAAACCATTGGTGTTGATAAGTTAAAAAACCTCAAGGAACTGAATCTAAATGGACAGTTTTGTGTGGATAACCATGATGGTATTTCTCACTCATCACAAGCAACTGATCTGGCCCGGCCATTGAAGCAGGCAAAGGCATGAATTCTCTCCCTATTTTTTATGTTAACTATGCGTTCCCCATGTTTAGATTCACCAGTAGAAACCACTTGCCAACGATTTCCATTTTATAATGTACAGTACTAGTTCTTTTGGAAAATTTGGTCTTTTGATTAATTGAATGTTGAAGCATGATTTCTATTTTTTGCTTGCATTGTTATATTAATGTTCATTTCAAAATTTCATAGTTACACCCAAAATCTTCTCTTGAGCAGGAAAAATCGTGCTACTTCATGTAAAAGTTAGAAGTTTCTTTGTACAAGGTTTCATCATTTATATATGTTTTTCAGAATTATCGGCAGCATTTTTTGTACAGCTATATATGTGTATCATTGAGTCCTAGATTAAGTGCTAGTTACCTGGCTTCTAAGATATACTGCTCTACTCCGACTGAAGATGGTAAAAGCATGACTGAACAAAAGTTCTGAAATATATTTCTGTTCACCAGGTGGCTTCTGCAATTACTGATGGGCAACCAAGAATGATCTCCGCAGAAAATGGGAGCCACCACCAACTTACGCATTCCCTATCTAGTACCATGGCTCGTATGCAGGCAAAGGAAGCCGATGTCCAAGCTCTCACAGAGCTGAAATTTGCCCTCCAAAGAAAGGTCATTTACATTTCACTTGCTAATCAGCAGTTGTTCATGGTTTCTCTATGAATGCACACCCATAAGTGCTTGATAGTTTGATGTTCTTAAAATGTTCAAACATCATCACATCATAGGCTTTAGTGCAGTTTGTATCGATATCAGACCATAATTGTTACATGTTCGGCACGTCACTCCTAACAGTCTCCCTGAATTGTATAGCATTGTCAAGCCTCATTTTTTTGTAACTCGATGCATTTAGGAAGCTGTTGTTCTGGAGTTGAGACATGTGAACAGCGAAGTATTGGAAAATCAGGAGGATATTGATCGCTTGTTGAAGGATTACGAGCCATTTAGGAGGCAATACGCAGCTGTGCTGCAACGATTGAGTGAAACCAATGAGAAGGTACATAGTTTATTTGCATAAAATTGAAACCTGCATTTCTTTTGTCTTCTGTTTTTTCCGCTATCATTTTCAAATATGTATTCTAAAAGTCTTGTTTGTATGAATGCTCAGGTTTCGTCTGCATTATATTGCTTGAGACAACGAAATAGGCAAAGCGAAAATACTCTGCTTACATGTCCTGGTCTAGTTTCTAATCCAAGTGGCGGTTTGAGTTCTCTTGATCACTCAGCTTGTCAAACTCTTGAATCAGAATCACATGCTAATGAAATAATCAATGTGTCGAGAACAAAAGCTCGGGCAATCGTGGATGCAGCCATAAAGGTAAAAGGTTTTTATTCTAAATGCTCTTCTCCTATCGTTTTGTGTTCCAATTTAATCTGAAGCATCTTGATAAGCTGTGTTTCTTAGGCATTATCAACATGCCCATGTAGAGAGGACACCGGCAAGAAAAATCACGAAACCATAGATTATCTAAACTACAAGCTCCCCTCAGATGATTGCAATCCCTCCACGGTAAGGCCTCTCATATAAGTCAAGTCAGGATAGTGCTAATTTGATCGAATCAACATATGCTATAAGGTGACTAGCATATATTTATAATATTTCAGCATATTTATAATACATCCATATTATATTATAACTAACATATATTATCTTATAACACAACATATGCTAAGATATGTATAAACATACGCTAGTAACTCATGTGACATGTCCTGACCGGTCAAATCAGCACCCTGCTTATTTGGCCACAAATCAGCACATGATCTGAAGCCTCTTGTATAATTTGCAACACTATCAATAGTTGATCATCAAAACTTAATGTACGCGTGTGATGAAAACTCTATCAAGATATCCAACACGGGCGTGCAAATTTCATCCGAGACAATATCCAAATGTGTGGCAACCTTGATCATGATCCAGGTAATATTGATAGGGTAACAGAAGTCCCACCCCACCCCACCCCACCCCAGCCCATAATGATGCTTTATGTATATGTCCTTGGTAAGTTTTCATATGCTTAATAAACTGATGAATGAACAACTGCAGAAGTGCACAGAAGGACAGTTCCCTGCTAGGGAGGTGGCGAAGATACTGGATTCTGCCGGTACAAGCTTACGGCCACGGTGTGCTCAAAACCTGCCGGTTTATGCTGAAATACAGAAGTGCCTGGGCATCATCCGGAACCAAATTATTGCCCTGATTCCTACTACATGACATTATAACACGACCTTACATTGCATTGAGGTTAGTTATTTGTTTTTGTGAAGTTTTGGAGTGCAATTTACTTGTGGGTAAATAATGCGATCTTGTTTTAGGGTTTAGGGTTTGGGGTTTAGAATCGTGATAGTTTACAAGACTCACATTTTCTTGAAACTTTAATTTTACCTCCTGAATTGGATATAATTCTCCCATGTTTTTCTGTTAAGGAATTATGGGTTCTTGTGGATAGATTTTGGGATTTGGTTCTAATTTTAAAGAGCCTTTTGAATATAATTTATTTATTTATGTTAATTGAGATGTTGAGATGGTGTTAGGATGGGTGTTAGATTGAGATAATAATATATTGGTTGTAGTTAGATTAACGATGGAAAATTTAAGATATATCAAACCATCTGCAACGGAGATATCCGTTTTTGGCTATCTCCACTACTATTTTGTTATCCAAGTCACTTTCTCTCTCTTTTATGTCATCGGAGATACTCACTTCTATTTTATATTAGCAACAAAGATACTTATCTTATTTTTTTAATAAAATTTTATTTTTATATTATATATATATATATATTATTTTTTAATTATAGTTTAACTTTTAGTATTAATTATTATATTATATTATATTATATTATTATTTGTCAATATTTCGATTTATTAAAAAATTAAGGGAAAAAGTTATATTTCCTCCGTCCCGGATACCATGTCCACGTTGTCCGTCCAATCGTGTCTACGGTGTAGCAGACACAGAATCTGGGAAGGAGGAAGTATTATTTAGGCCATCTTCAACGGAGCGCCATTCTGAGTTGGCATATTTGGTGTGGGTTGGATCCAATGTCAATTTTGGTGTTTAGCAACGCTATTGTTTGGCATTGTGTTATTATTATTATTTTTTAATTTTTTTTAATTTTTAAAATTATAAATTTGATTGGTTGGAGTAAAATTACTGTACCAACAGTATATTTGGAGTTAAATTTAGTTTTAAATTTATCTTGTCTTTTATTTTATATTAATAATCTATGTATAATTAATTATAAACTAAATATATTTAGGGGTTGTTTGGTAAACGGTTTTTTCATTTTAAATTTTCTTATATCTTATTTGCCCTTAAAATTAATTAATTATTTCACATATATTCTTATATTTTTTTTATTACACTATTTATTAATAATTTAGATATATTTTCTTCTAATAATTTATAAATTCATATTTATAAATTTAAAATAATTATTTTATATATATATCAATTATCTTATTTATAATTTCTTAATTGTTTTTTTGAATAAAGATAATATAAAAATATTAATATTATTGAATCAATTATATAGTATTTTTTATCACATAATATTTTTATTAAAAATAAATATATTTATTTAAATTATAAATTTAATGTAAATATATATTAATTAAAAATTAATCTAATAAAAATAAATATGCTAATAATTTTTGTTCTTTTATATTTATACTATTTCTAATGAAAAAATATATATTTTTCAATATATATATTTTTCAATAAGCTAGTATTAATTCTTTATAAAATATTTTAAATATACTAAAATTTTTCTAATTTTTAAAATTAATAATAAAATTATAAAAAAGTCTACCTACCGAAAAAACTCAACTAAATATTTTGAAAATAAAATATAAAATGTCTTTAATTGTCATTTTACGTATAAACAGCTAATATCAAACCGCTATTTTACCAAACACTTTAATACAAACAGCTAGTCAAACCAGCTAATCGAATCAGCTAACAGTTAACAACTAATCGAATCAGCTAACAGCTAACAGTTAACAACTAATCGAATCAGCTAACAGCTAACAACTATCAGCTAATTGCCAAACATACCATTATTGTTTAATATAATTTTATATTATTTAATTGCTTTAAAATTTATAATTATATTTTATTTAATAAATTAAATTAAATTTATTAATATTGATTTGTTCAATAGAATTATAATATTTGTATTTATATATTTTAAATTTCAAATTGATAAAATATATTCAATATTGGTATCATTTTGTAAAATACAAATATTATAAATTATAAAAATACTACAAAATTTAAATATAACAATAAATTCAATATAAATTACAAAAACAAAACATATATTATATATATACATATATATATATATACCTAAGTGCCATTGTCCCACATGGCAATAGAATTACATTTTCCCAGCATCTCTACAGAGGATCTAGGATACTTGACATGAATTTAGATGCATGTACATAAGTGCCAGCTAATTTGTCCACTTTAGTTGGGATACAGAGTTTAAGTACTGTATAATTAGAAAATAATAAAAAAATATATTAGTAAAAATAATTATATATTACAATTAAAATAATTAAATAGTTTAATTAAAATAAAAAAAATTATAAATTATGAATTTTAAAATGTAATTAAAATATATAATTATATTTAACAAAAATAACAAATTATGTGGGACGGATGTCGGATGGAGTAATCAAATTATCATTATTTTTATTATTAATATTTTGATAAATATTTGATTTACTTATAATTTAATTATCCATATTTTAACAAATAATAATAAAATTGTTATTCTTTCCGTCTCAAGAAAAGTGTTCATGGGTTACCGCAGACACACGAGAATTTAGGTAAAATATAATTAGTAAATAATTAAAAAATGTATTAGTAAAAATAATTATTTTTTATTATAAAATAATAAAAAATAATTATAAATTAAAATTAAAATAACTAAATAGTTTGATTAAAACTTAAAAAATTATAAATCGTGAAATTTAAAATATAATTAAAATGTATAATTATATTTTTTTTTAAAAAATGACAAATTATATAAGACGAACGAGAGAAAATAGACACTTTGTGGGAGAAGTATTATTTTTTTTACTTAATTTTTTAGTTTTTATTTATTTTTTTATCTATTTTATTTTTATATTAAAATATTATTATTTTTTAATTGACGTAAATCAAACAAGCAAAATATAATGAATGAAAAAAAAAATATATTTAATAATTATATTTTGTAAAATATAAAATTAAGTATAAAAGTATAAGTATGTATTTATTAAATATAAAAATATTAATTTTAAATTATAACAAACACTATGGAATGCCGAATATTTATGAACAAATTCAATAACAAATTTTAAAATTTAATCTCATTTTTGTAACTCATTTAACTTAGCAAGTAAGCTTTTAATAAAAATCAAACAAACGAGTCAACAACTCATTTATTTTAAATGTCCTATATAGTCACAATCTCTATATAATAAAAAACAGAATATGTTTCCTTGTAAGATTTTATTTTTTATTTTACTATTCTAACTTTTTCTTTTCCTAAAAAAATAGAATAAAATTAAAATTCAAAATCAAAACTTTACAAGTAAACACACCCTTTCTGTTATCAGTTCAAATTCTCAAGCTCGTCCAACTCACATGTCAACTTGTTTTATCGGGCTTAGTTTGTATATATTAAGTTCGACCGAAGTTACACGGTGAAGATTACCACGTTAAAAAAAAAAAAAAAAAAAAAAAAAAAAAAAAAAAAAAAAAAAAACTAGGCAAGTCCATGTTTGTTTGGCCCAATATATGTGGGCCCAGATAAGACAAGTCCAATTAATACTGGCCCATGTATGATTTTCGGCCCACGCAGTAGTAGTCCAATAACTTCGGCCCAAATAATACAGGGCTTTATTTTCTGGGCCCAATATATGTCGGCCCATATAAGACAAACCCAATTGCTACATAGTACCGACCCACTCATCATAAAAATAAATAAATAAATAAGAAAAGCATTCTCTACTCTCTAGGGCACCTCACGCCGCCATTGTTCGCTCAAACGCCTCTCTCTGCCGAGACGACTGCGTTTGCGATTCAGGTTTGCTTTGCTATTCCTGAGGAATTTGTGTGTATTCCATCGTGTTTGCTACTTAATTTTGTTTGTCGCAGCAATTTACTTCGGCTAATGGTTATTTGCTAGTTTGTCTTTGGCCGTTTTGCTGTTCAAATTTGCTCTGTGATTTCTAGTTTTACGATCTAAGCAGATGAGTAAGCACTTTGTAAGAGGAGTTTTGGTCGATTCATTGGGTGAGTGCGGGGACGAATTTGAGTTGAATAACCTAATTGTATGCATTGTAATATGTTCATTGTACCCGTGAAGTTTCACATCTTTCGATTCAATTCTTCGATTCGCTGTGCTTAAGTGGCCTGTTATGAGGTTTTAGGTCATTGAAATTTGTGAGCTTTGAGCAAATTCATATTTGTTTTCGTTTATGCTGATTAGAAGATTCCGATTGCTTTTCCAGAAGTTGTTAATTACAAATTAGGTTGTCTACAAAAACTAGTTCCTTAGATTTATGTATAAAGAAAAAAGGACCTACAAAACATTCCTTTATGAAATGGTGCCATTTATCTCCCTCCAGTGGGAGATTTTTGGTGATGTTTTTGTAGTCTTTTCTGGATTTATCGCAAAGAATCTCAGTGGAATTGGTAGAATGGTATCCTAATGTTGATTTTGATTTTTGTAGGATGGATTCCCAGATCAAGCATGCGATTGTGGTGAAGGTTATAGGGCGGACAGGGTCGAGGGGACAAGTGACTCAGGTGAGAGTCAAGTTTGTGGATGACCAGAATCGGTTTATCATGAGGAATGTTAAGGGACCTGTTAGAGAGGGTGACATTCTCACCCTTCTCGAGTCGGAGAGGGAGGCTAGGAGGCTGCGCTGAATTTCTTTCACACTGGCTTCACGAACTTCTGATGTTTGGATGTAAGTTACGACATCGGTTTGAAGTTTTTGGTTTTCGCACTACTTTGATGAATGAACCAAAATAATATTTGGAGTTAATTGTTTGGCAATATTATGACTTATGTTTTTCACACCAGCTGAATTAGTTGTGCCGTTTTTACGTTGTTTAAGCCTACGATTTTGGGATTTTTATTGAGTTGCAAGGAATGATGTTAAATTTACTTCATAGGGTACTTAGATGAGTTGGATATGGATGATTTATTCTCTATATGTGCTCATCACTTGAATACTTTTTTAAGTATTTTATTGGCTCGAGCAGGCGATGCTGTGTTTTCTATTTTGAAGTTGGGTTACATTGTCGGAATGCATTAAATATTATTATTCCTTTCTTATTATTGTATTTTTAGGTTTCTATTGGCGATCTAAATATAATGAAAATGTACTAGTCTCTCCCAGTTTTACATGGTTTTAATGAATATAGTATTACATTGGTTGATTCTTTTTTGTTATTTTTTATAATGAATATAGCATTACATTGGTCGATTGTGATATAAAGCATTGGGAATATACGAGTGAGTTAATGAGCTGAATGAAAACATTGGATATATCGAGTGTACAAGTGGTTATAGCATATTTGTAAGAAAGTGTAGTAATGAAAGATATAAAATGTGCAAAAGTATTTTTCGAATGATGTGGGAACTTGTATATTGGATAAATTCTTGATTAGGCGAAATTACGCCTGCAAGATAACTCATACTGTGCAAGATTTTTATGACAGGCTAGGATCAAGAAGCTTCGGGAATTTGAATCTGTAACATTGCGGTCATAAGATTACTTGTACATCAATTCGACTATCTCTTACAGGGCTACTATTTTATAAGTTTTCGATCTAGTGGTTGTGATTATCTCTATCATGTCGTGTTAGTCCATGTTCTAAGTTTCTAAATGAAGATATATAGCGAAGAATCAAGCAGAACTACACCCAAAAAGCCTATCAACATTAAAACTACCTAAATAAACCTAAGTAGTGGCTATCCGGTCAGGACAACCTCGAACAAGCCTTCCTCCTTACGCAAGTTCGATCATTTACCAGCATATGATACAACCCTTTTGCTCGGGCAATCAATCGTGATCTTAGCGCATCATGATCAGTTAACAAGGCAGGGGGGTGGGTTTTGTGTCCCGCTGTATCCTACTTTAACATTAGCGCATTCGGATCTCGGCCTAATTAGTTTTCCTTGTAAATCGATGTTGTGAAAGTGCACGTTGTTGCAGGGAAACTTCGAGCTGCACGTTAGGCTCACTGCAACCTCTGAGGGCGTCGTTCCTCTGATGTTTCGGTACAAGACTTGGCTCACTCTCACTTGGGACGGCTGATTAGAGTTAATTTTAGTCGTCGATCATGGGTAGGGTTGTAAATGAATTAAATAATTTTGTTTGATTCCATATTCGATTCGAAATTTTGATGTTCGTATTCGAAATTTTATGATTCGAATTCGAATAAAAATATTCGATTTGAATACGAATCAAATATAAATATGAGATTTTAATATTCGATTCACTATTCGTAAATATTCGAGTCAATAATAAAAATAATCTAGATAGTATAATATATATATGTATTTTTCAATCGAAATATATTAAACTAAATTTATTAATAATAATACTTTTAAATTTTATATAAATAAATATAATATAATTAAAACTACATTGATATTTTTATTTATATTAAAGCAAGAAGGCTTTTTTGCTAAAAGAGTTCTAATCGAATAGTTTTGAATCGAAATAAAATAAAAATGAATCATATTTTGAATTAAAAATATTTGTATAATATTGAAATCGAATCGAATACTCAAATCGAATTGAATATTTGAAAAATATTTTGATCAAATACGAATAGCATTTTAATATTTGAATTGAGTAGTTGAATATTTATTTTTCGAATCGAATCGAATACTATATAGTATTCGATTTGATTTGATTCGTTTACAACCCTAATCATGGGTGCCTAGGAATCGAGATACATACATACCTCAGTTGACTTCGAGCCGTAGTTTTGATCGATGATTATCGGGTTCTCCACATTCTCTAGAACGATGTCCTCGAACAAAATACCCGCAGCTGCGCTCGGTCCCGACGCAGGATATGTCTTGATTCGGAGACCGTTAGTTGTCCCGACCAAGGTGCAGTTCTTCACCTGCAGGCCTCTCACGTCCAATTCGTTCGGTAGCCTTCCGAGGCTTCCCACACTGAAAAAAAAATGATTATTTTCGTATATTTCATTCAAAAATATTAATTTTTAATAGTAAGAATAGAATTGAGGAAAAACGTAATTGAGTAGACAATATAATTAATTATCTTTGTTTGGTAAAATAGAAAATATATATAAAAAAAAATGCATCTATATGAACGATGGAACAAGAATAAATGATTAATCCGATAAAAAGAGAGTTTTAACGAATGAGAATTCATGAAAAATATTTTTGATGATTTTTTTAAAAAAAATATTATAAATTAAAATGTTTTGTAAGATTATATGTTAGTACATTTTTTTAAAAAATAGTAAAAATTAAATTCTTGAATAATAAATTTAATGTGAATTTTGTAAAGTTGAAATAATATATATTTACAAATTATAAAAATTAAATAGTACAAAAAAATTTAAAAAAATAATTCTCAACGTTCATTTCTCTTATAATTTATCTCAATTTCTTTGGATACGAGAGAGAAATGAAATCAGAAAAATAGAAATAATTTATTTCTCAAATTTCATTTCTCTAATCAATTCTCTCTACCAAACACACCCTTATATAATGGGACCTGATTCCATGTCCGGGGCCACAAGTGATCTGGTTGATAGTGACATTGTTGGCCCCTTGGCCGACGGATATACAATCGTCCCCGGTTCTAAACACGCTCATAGACACTTTAACAGCTCTGGATTTGCTAATATGGATGCCGTCGGTGTTGGGGCTATCTCCCGGGGCCGTGACTGCGAGTTTTTGTATTCGAACTTCTTCGCAACGCGTAATGTGCATGTGGAATCCCATACTGTTTACCATGTTCACCTGCTGAATCATCGTCCGGTTCACTTTCATCATGTGTATGCTCTGCATATCGGCATTTTTGTTAAGTATGAATAATAAAATTATCAATGACTAAAATTTTTCACTAAAAGGGCTCGTGAAGTTCTTCGCTTTGCATCGAATTAAGCCAGATACTTCACTGCTTAAATAGACTTTTTTCATGTAAGTATAGTTGATGACATAAAATGAAAAATTGTTATAGTTGTACCGGAAAGATAAAAAGTTAAGTTTTAAAAATACCCCAAACTACATTTTTACTTTTTTTTCACTTTTTTAATAAAATATTATTTTTCTTAATTCCCGAGCCCAAATGGGCTAAATACGGCGGACAAGGAAATATTTTTTTGAAAAAATTACTGTAAACAGAGGTTAAGTAATTTGTTTATACGACAAATTCGGATTCGATAGAGCAAGATCTCACAGCAGGTAATCGAGCGCAGCTCGACGAACTGCCCTGGCAGTCGTTATATTTCCAGACGGCCTGTCCTTGGCCGTCGAAGGTCCCTCCGCCGGTCAGGGTCAGGCCGTCGATATCTTCGAGCGAAATCCATCCTTCACCAGAGTATAGGGACATGTCAGCAACGGCTTGCAGCGTTCCCTGAACCAGAATCGTGACGGGATTTTGACACGGCCCCTGGAACACGGTCTCGCCTAGTAGAAAAAACCCGGGCGGGACTAACATCGTGGCTTTCCCTTGGGAATGGCACGCAGCATTCCAGGCCTGGATGAAGGCCTGCGAGCTCTCGTCCTCCTTGCTGTGTGTTGCGCCGAAGTCCATTACGTTGAACACGGCTCCTCCACCGCCGGGAGGTTGTCCGCCTGCTTCGTTGTAAGAAAACAGGCTCAGAAACGAGAGGAGGATTATCGATTCCCTCGACATATTTCGGATAATATGGCTTATTTGTTCTTCATTCTTTGGGTGTTTTTGGTTCTACATGATTTCTACTTGTAGTGTTGTTGTGTTTTTGATCTGTAGGTGAAGAATTGATGATCTTTTGCATTTTTGTTTGTTTGTTTGGTTGGTTGGGGTTATGATTTAAGTTAGTTTATGATTCTGAAGTTGAGAAAAAAAACATAGAATAGAATGCAAATTAAACATATATCCTATAAATGGAGTTCCCTCAAAGTGAGGGGACATCAATCAAGACTTTGGTCTGTTTTTAGTGTCTTGATTATGTTATATTAAGGTTGTTTGAGTGACTCACTTCCCTACATCAATCATCTCAACCAAATTAAAGGGCTGCCCTTCATTTTACTAACAAATTCATTTCACCACTAATACTTACTTTTTTATTTTTTATGACGTGGAACTCACAGCCGTATGCTTTGGGTAAACTCCTAATTCAACTTAATAGCCTGCAAATTAGAGTTCACTCCCTTATCGTTATCAGATCATTTTTTACGGGACACTAATACGTTAAAAAAAAATTTGGTCGATTAATTGGCGCTAATACGTTAATTTTTGAACAACATAGGGTTTGTTTGCCCAAATTTTGATATTACCGACACAATTTCTCAATTCTAATGTACAAAAAAAATTCATCAAAAAACACTAGGCGAACAAACCCTAACATATCTTCGCTATCACAATCTAAAAAAACATACATATCGATAATTTGTTTTTGACATCGCTTTCTCTGGTCCATACAATTTTCAATAAACATGCATGATTTTCTATCACAATATATCATATCAAAGTACTATTAAACTCAAATTAAAACCAAAATCAAACAAACAAGCATTTCCAAGAATAATATCTCCCACTTTGATTTGTTTCTATAACAGGAATGCCTATTTTTATTACAAACAACTATCATAGCTAGATCCAATTTTTGGGGATGAGTCGAAACAAAAGAAAAAGACGTTTTAATTTTAAGCATAGAAAGTGTGGAAGCAAATTGAAGAATTAATAAAAAAAAAAAAAAAATACCATGAAAACCCAAACCTATGAAAAGTTATCGACGATGAGGAATTTTCTAGATGAATCGGATGATCACAACGACTACAATTTTCTAAAGAAATGAAACATGACACTAACAAGGGGAAGAAGTATTGTAATAGATTGAAATTATAACTACTATAGACTTAATTCCAAAACCTGAATTCTAACTTAGTTATGCCCATGACTAATATTTCCGTTAGTCGATAAAATTTTTAATAGACTCTTAAGACATATTATTTAACAAAAGAATATTTCTAGCGAAACATCTGTCATACATAAGAGATGGTTTCACTAATAAGATAGAAATATATCAATCAATACAAATGGCTCATAAGTAAATTCCCATAAGCTAATTTGCATACATTAACCTCAAGCAATCAGATACATAAATATATACACATACATAATATACACACAGACAAATATAAATAAACAACACTAGCTCCATTTCCATGGTTGTAGATGGCACCTAACTTTATTTCTCAAGGTTATGAATGGCGGCATACTTTGGCGCGGCGCAGCTTGATTATATTACTAGAGCTATACATATATATATATATATATATATGGAGCTGAGGATTAGGGAATTAATTAATGGAGAAATTAAGGAAGATATTATTTAGTTTAGGATGATACTTTTTTTCCTCTGAACTCTTTGATCAGAACTCCTCCATAGAGCTGAGCAGCCTTTTCGCTGTCGATTGTTTGCTGAGGAGGAGCTCTGATGATTCTTCTTTTTGGATATGGTAATGGTTTTGGGACAGCGATGATTTCGAGAGGAGGGCAATCGAAGTTGTTGATGTTTCGGCCTAAGCAGAAATCGACAAGATTGAAACCCTCTTGCCCAATCTTTGAAAGGTTGTCCTGATGATGAAGATGAAGATGGTTGTGGTGATATGGCATGTTCTAAAGATTGACAAACTAATTAGAACACAAAGATATGTGTGTGTATGTTCTTGGCTAGCTATGGAGGAAGAAGCCCTTTTTATATAGGAGTTGGGAAATTAATTTATGGAACCTGTTCTTGGGTGAAGTATGTATGTTTAATTGCTTTAGACATTTATAGGCACACCAATGTCTTATGGTATGGGAGAATATGAAAACTATTTGGGGCAAAAAACAATACTGTGGGTGTACATGGATTTTGGATTTGATTTTGATTCTGGTTTGATTGGAATGGATGGATGGATATATCATACACTGAATCAAGATTGTTTTTTACGAGGTGCCGTGACTCGTGACCGTCAATTCATGGGTTCAAATCCCCGAAGTCTCCGGGTTTCATCTGTCACATATAGTTCATCTAATGTGACTTGCCTTGTCGAGCCTAGTTTGCATGATATTATGTTCGACCGGGAGTTTATCCAGAGTGCATTCGATGAACAACGATCGTTTGGTTCCCACGTTATTAAATAAATAAATAAATTATTTTTTACGAGTGGCCGAATTGATGTTGGATAAACTTGTAACCCTAAGATAATAGATTCAAAACTCCTGTTCAAAAAAAAATTTGAAAATTATATATTTGTTTTTCAACCACTAAAAACTACTCCTTCGGTCATCGATTTATGTACTCAAATATTTGGACACGGATTTTAATAAAAATATATAATAATTATTTTTTTATATAATAAAAATGTAATATATTTTTTTGCTAAAAAAAATGATAATATTTTTTAATACAAAAAAAGGAAAATAAAAATAATTTGTGATCACCTAAATTATAAAGGTAAAGATTCTCTAGTTTGTTAAACTTAAATATCACATACTTAAACTTTTAGAGCAATTAATCTTTAAATCGTTTTTCAAAGAAATCAACACCATTAAGTCCCCCAAGCGGATCTAAGGATGGACTCGAGGGAGCACAAGCCTAGTCCCAAATTTTATTTAATTTTTTTTAGTGTAAAAATATTTTCTTATAATATAATTATGCTAATTTTTTTTTTTCTCAAAAATACTAAAGTTATCACTTTGTTATGTTTTTTTTTTTTTCACCCATTATTACTTTTGGCAAGAAAAATCGAGAAAAAAACACTATCAAATCAGTAAAAATATGTCAATGATCAGCCTCGAAATTTGGAGGTTATTTCCGCCACTGAAAAATGCCAAAGAGAATAATGATCATGAGATGAACACTACATATAGAAAGTTATACAATATAATCCTGTACTATAACTTGCTCACCAATTCCCATAATGTTTTCACCATGTGAACATGAATTATACAATTATTTTTCAAAAATTCATCCATGGCTATTCAAGTTTGAAAGAGCATTGGAGAATAGGATCGATCCAACCTTGATTCTTATATTCTAAATTAGACAATGATCTGTTGTCACTGTAATTCTGTAAGAACAACTACAGTTTTGATTGTGCATAAAAGATTCGTAAAGATGATGAGTGAGCTAGTGTTTGGGTTGATGTTCTAATGTATTTTTGTTATGCTTGAAGAAGTATACAGCGAATATGCTTGGATTGGTATCTCCAGACGTAAGTTATATAAACTAAACAACTTGCTAATGTATGTTTTGTTTTCTTTTTTTTTTTTTCTACTTGAGTTTAGTGTTTTATTATTGTTGGAAACGACCACGTATTGTGACGAGTTTATTTGTTCGTTGATGTTGGAATATTCCACGAGCGAGTTTTGTACTTGCTCCCCATAGAATCTCCATTGCCTATTTGTTGGTGTGTGAATTTTGTTGATATTTTCTTTTTCTAATAAAAATAACATTCATCGATCACCGGTATGTATGTATGTATTGTCTGTTCATCAAGGGGCAAAGAAATTAAAGAAACAAAGATGAAAAGTTTATGAATACAGAGAAGTCTTAGATAAATTTCATTAATATTGCAGTTTAAGACATGGATTGTACATTCATTCAACCAATCCACAACTTATTCCAATCCCCACATTTTACAGAATATATATATATATATATATAGCTAGAAACATATATAAATTTACGCTGTAGCGAACACTTCCATCCTCCCGGCTTGGAAGATAATGGAGATACAATTTATATCCGCAGCAGCAGAAGCTATAAGTATATGAATGAAGTCTTACAGAGAGCTGATATAAGCTAGTTCCGCGCGCTTTCCTTTAATTTGAAGCTCTTGATTAGTAATCCGTTATACCTTCTGGCAGCCTCGTTGCAGTCAATGGTTTCTTGAGCGGCAAAGCTTCTCTGAGTTATATTCGGATCAGTAGTAACAGAGGGTGGTGGGGTATCTGACTTTCGATCTAACTTCCTATTTTGTCCAAAGCAAAACTTCACCAGACAGACGCTCTCTAGGCTAATCTTCATAAGGCTATAAACTATCCGGATATATATATATATGTATATATGTGTGTGTGTATTATATATGTGGTTCCAAATATTGGCAAACAACTACAGATGTGTTTTTGCAGCTAAGCACTAAGCTTCTGTTGAAAATTAAGGTTTTTTATGCGCGTGTATATATAGAACTTGGGAGACACCTTTGAATCCTACTTTTCGGTTGTCTTTTAACTCTCAACAGACAATAGAATATCTTCACTCGACAAGAATGTATAAGCTAATCTGGGTAAATTTCAATACTGTGGACGAACGGAAAAACAGATGTCACAGTTTCCTGCTATAATTAAGTGAAACTTAAAAAACAGACACACGAATAAAAGTAAAAAATGCACTGAAGATGATAAGGAAGTAATTTTTTTACCCACTTGTTAAGTGTGAGGTATTAAATAGAACATGTTGTTGAATGATTTATTTGTATAGAGGAAATTTTTATTTATATATATATATATATATTAAAGAATATCTGTAACACTCCGGCCGCAATCCATGCAGACCGTACGTTTAACTTTAGAGTTCTTTCAAATCAATCCTCTTGAACACTATTCATCTCTACTCAACTTTGGGGGTATCACAATATATTTTCAATATTGAGCTGGTTAAACTA